GAAATAAATCTTAATTTTCTATTTTTATCTTGTCAACATAATTTATATTTCTTTCTTGTAATCTGTTAAAAAATAAATAATTTTGTCATTATAACTGATGGAAATTATTTTTAAACAAAGTTAATATTATTTTTTGTATTTCATACTTAATTTCTTCTTGTTTGCTGTGTGTGTTAAAGGCCGATTTTGTTATGGGCCGAATTATCATCGATTCCGGAAATAAGAGCAAGGTGACCATATACCCCAGAAACCCTTCGACATTTTGGGTGTTAGTCAACTTAGTGATGACACCCATGCCATAAAGAAAAAAATTCTCAATGGAAATAAATTCAGCTTAAGTCTGTTTGATCAGTAAAGTAAACACTAAATACAAAATTGTACAAACAAGTTGTTTACATTTGTAAGTTTTGTCCTATATGGGTGATAACTAAATAAAGGTGTGAATAATAACCATAAAAAATGTTTTAATTTTACAGCTTCAGAAGTACCATATTATCAGTGCGTCTTCTTACCAAAAAAGAAAAAAACATAGAACTCAAATCATTGAATAGACTTAAATTTTCTTGCTTTTACGAGGTTTACTGATTTCATAATCATAATAATAGTCATTTGCATGTTTTTTTTTGTGAGACAGCTTAATCTTTGGGATTGTCATCAACCAATACCTACATGTAGTTCAACCATGCAACTTCAACGGAATTTTAATGTTGGACTAATCTATTTTTGATGCAGATTATTGCATACTGAAATGAAAATTATAGAAAAATGGAATCCTTTTAGTAGATATAAAACAGGGAATAATGAACGCTTTTAGCAAAAGGTGGATTGAATCGAGCTTCTAGCTTAGCTTAGTGTATTCACATTATTTGTATATCTCTCCTTACTCTTGGAGAATGTGGAGGTATTTGGTTCACCACAAACAAAAGTTTTATATATAATATAGTAAATACTTGTATATTATTCATTAGACTGAAAAACGACAAAATTGTTGATTGTAACGAATACCACTCACAGGTTACTTTTACTAAAAATGACCTACGATTTCAAATACATAGCTTATTGTTTTTTTCTTTTCTTAAGGATAGCCATTCAGGCAGATCTACATAAAAACACTATTTTTTATTTAGCGTTCATCATAACCATTTGGCAAATATTGCCATATTTACCACATGTACAACATTCCGAGTACATACAAACTTGTGCTTCTGGATAAGTTTCCAAGCATGGCTTGACCGAGATAAATAAAATTTAAATGCATTTCAGAATGGTAAAAACTTTACTGGATTTTGCTATTATTTTCGTGTTCGTGTACGGTCTAATGTATATAAAAAACGAGAAACGAGAAACACTTATGAACCACATCAACAAACGACAACCACTGAACATCAGGTTCCTTTATGTATATCTGAATACTACAACGCAAAAATAAGCATGCTATAGATGTCTTTATATGGCATTATGGTAACTTCCTGGCATAGGAGATCATAATATGGATTTTTTTTTAATTTGGAAAGACGTTATTCTACAATAAGCTATACCGCTGTTACAAATAATAAAGGAACGGTTTTAAGGAATGTTATGGCGTGTGTTTTTACGGTATGAGCACGGAAGCCTTGTCTGTCACAAGTTTACTTTTTTACCTACATGCAGCCTTGATACACATGTTGTAGTTTCAGATATCAGCTGTGTATTGTACATTTCTTCTAAAAAAAAGTCCTTCCTTTTCATCTTAATATCATGCATAGCCTGTCACGAGAGCACCTGAAAAAAGTTTTACCCGGGTAAGTATGGCATCAAGTTGTACTTTCAGGCATCTGCCATCCATATTTTGGAGAGGCGTAGGTTTTCTTTAAAGAATTGTTTGATTCTGAATTACTTGAGAAAAATTGTTTAGAATGGAAGTAAATAAATTTAAAGATGCTTTCTATTGAAAATTAGGAGAAAATATATATATATATATTGACATTAAGTTTCTAATAAATTGTTCGGATTTTAATGAAAACAAATTTTGTGTTTAATTTCTGGAAATAATTGAAAAAAAAAGTATCCTTAAAGGACGCATGCACCCCTAAAAATGAATTAGATAGCCATTGTGCATTATATAAAAAAAACCACGTTTATTATAAACTGAGTAGTAAATACAGACAACTTGTATATGTAATATAGTCAACTGCAACTATTCTATATCCGCCACGATATCGCGGCTGTATGTGTATGACGTCACGTAATCAAGATCAGTCTCGTTACGTCTCGTGGGGGCCAATTCAATACTTAATTGATAGGGGTGTCGCTGGGGTTCTGTTACCCCACCCTTCATATAGTTTAGATTTTAAAAATGTATACCTTTTCATATATAAAATTTTCATATTTCGTAACTCGCAACTCGACCTTCGTAACCGCAACTCTACTTTTGTAACTCGCAACTCGACCTTCGTAACTCCCAACTCGACCCTCGTAACTCGCAACACGAACTTCGTAACTCGAAACTCGACTTCGTAACTCGCAACTCGACTTTCGTAACTCGCAACTCGACCTTCGTAACTCGCAACTCGAACTCGCAACTTGCAACTCGACTATAAGAAACCTTCATTTTCCTGGTTCATATACAGATTGTATAGATTCTTTCTTTTACTTTGTTAATGATTGTACTATAAAAAAAAATAATCTTTATTTATAATTGGAAACCTAAGACACTCGACCTGAAATGACTCCCATCGATTTCAAAAGTTGACGTATGACAGCAGACACTAACTGTGTTCCATACATTCACATGCAAATAATAGAAATAACAATATATCAAGTTTGGATGCATAATTGTGAGTAATAAATGATATGTGCAGCCTTTATTGTGTTGAAGACTCGACAAATATCCAAAATTATGTATGCAAATTATGACACAAACTGCTTTCCATACTTTCAATCCATCGAAATGAAGGGGTGCTATTAATCATACATAAATTACAAAAAGGGTATCTGTTTACATATTGAACATTTCTATGGTGTATTGTTGTCTCTAGATGTTTATAAATAATAAAAAAATGGCTGTGAAACGATAAAACAAATTATTTGGTTACGTGGCATATTATTGTCAGCATTGTCCTTTACATACGTTTTAAACGTCACAAAACACAATACATCTTATATTTGTTTACAATAAACAGTTCTGCAAAGTAAAAATATGCTATAAACTTATACGGTGCCGGGATCTGGTAGATATATCAATAAATGATGCTGAAACATCAGCGCGAGAATGTAAATAATGGGAAATAACAAAAGAGGGGAAAGAAACGACAAAGTTTATAAATTGAAAGTCATAAAAAATCTTCAAACAAGATAGTACACTCCCCGTCTGTCATCTTGTTTATTCCACAACATTATTTACAACTTCTTGGACAACAGTGCAAGTTTTGTCACTTGTCTAACGAAGAAAGCTGGTTTTACACAATTTTTGTCCAAGGTACGTACTATACGAGTTTCTACCTTGCGTACAAAATTATCAGCACTAGCTAGGGAACGTTTGAGTGACTATCCCCATTGGCTAACTAATGCAACTTACTTAGTTGTCCTTGATCAACAAGACATCTCCTTCTGGAATGTTTTCACTTTCTTAAGTTCATTTCTGACGAGCTTGTATAGAATAAAGTAAACCCAACATCTACTGGAAATATGTTTTTTCAAATATGCAAGAAATATCACATTTTAAAGATATTTTTTTTTAATTATAGGACATATATAATTTTATCAAAATTATCAGTGAATAATGGTCTGGATTGGGTAAACAGAAAAGAGAATAATGGGGAAAAGTTGCAAAAAAATGGGTTTACAACATTAAAGAATATTAGAATAAAATAGGCCAAAATATAAAAAGAATAGAGAAAAATGGCCAAAATTTAAAAAGAACAGAGAAAATGGCTTAAAAAATTAAAGAATACAGAAATGAAGGACCCTTCATTAAGACCTTCATGTATAGAATTAAATGGGAGCGTTTGCATTTAGTCTAAGATAAGTTGTGGATTCATCATTTTTTGTTGCCATATTACCCATTATTTTCATTGTTTTTACTAGTAAAGACAAATTAACCACTAACTCAAGGGTTTGTCGATTTAAGAATTTACCATCTTATATATATATTATTATGGTAGCTTTGGAAATATCACAAATCAAATATCTTGTTACGAAAATACATCTTTTCTTCAATCTGTGAAAATTGGTACCCTGGAAAATAAATGAATTCACAGAAACTATTCTACATATATATATTGATAAATAACAAAAAAAAAACTTTTTAATTCTGATAATTCCCAACAACATGACCAAAAGAAAAAAAAACGTACAAATTTTCGGAATTGACATAAGGTTTAATCCATTAGGTTTTAATAAATCACACAGAGTGTAGATAATGATATCTAGAAAACTGACATGTCAGCAAGGGCTTGGTCCTGCTTGTCCATTAGTGTTAGATAGTCTGCAACCCAAGGACAAAAATGACCAAAAGATCACTAGAGATAAAGATCTAGAGGTCAAAATATGGTCATCACATCTTTGCTGTTTGTCCCTGTGACTCAGATGTGTTTAATATGAAAAAATGTATTTATTGGATCATTCATCGTTATAAGAAATAACTATCAGAAAGATACAAGTGAATTTCATAAATTTAAATATACACAATATAGTTTAAACGTTTTGCGTGCAATCCATTCATTTTGCCATTTTTGATTTGCACCAACTTTAAATTTCTCATTTATACACGAAAAAAAAAAAACACAAGAAAACCATGTCACAGTTCCCGATTCTGTCTTGTTTAAAGGTCATCAAAAAGTCTGTAACTTTTTTTAACCTATGTAATAAATTTCTATCTTAGCAATGATTTATTGTTTAACTGACTGTACACATTCAAGTTGAATATTTCAGATCTCAGAAAGTCATTCAAATCTAATAAAATAACTTATACATGTTATAAAAAGCATTAATTTGTACATAAAATACTTTTTAGTACTTACAAAAATGTAAGCTGCAACAATCCTACTGACCCCTAACAGTCAAATGACAGTAATAAACAAAAAATGTTGACTTAAAACCTTTCTTTGTGTTTACGAAACAATAAAAAGATGACACTTTGATCTATAATCGATAATCTGTGTAATTGAGGGCAGATTTTGTGTTAGGAGTTCCGATATTAATCATGTTAATAATTACAATGAATCATATAAATATGTAGCTATGAAATAAAAAAAACTTTATATTTACTTGTGTTAATAAAATGATAAATAATAAAGATTTGACATTTTGATTGTGTATCAATAATCTTTTAATGTTAAGGGCGTATTGAATAGTGTGTGACCTCAATGACAGTCAATGTATATATAAAATATATATTTTCATGATGAATAAAAAATTTTATCGATACACAAGCTGTTGCACAGAATTATTGACAAAAAATCAAATGTCAACTGCAAGATAAATCTTTCGGTGCATTAAAAATGTTATTGTTTATTACTTACATGAATTTATGTTGTATGAAAAAGAGAGGCGACAGATACCAAAGGGACATTCAAACCCATTAGTCGCAAAACAAACTGACAACGTCATGGCAGAAAAAGAAAAAGACCAAAAGACAAACAACTGTACACAAAACACAACATGCATGTAGAAAACTAAAGACTGAGCAACATGAACCCCACCAAAACCAGGGGTGATCTTAGGTGCTCTGGAAAGGTAGACATATCCTGCTCCACATGTGGCACACGTCGTGAAGTTATGAACTTAAAGCATGTCAGTTAGTCAAGGATACTACAATCATGACAGCGTACTTTTACAAGAGTATTTTATTTTACTGATACAGGGAAATTATTTGGGAGGTAGACATGGTAAAGTACAATGTGTCTATCCCTAATTAGAAATTCAGATTGTTTTTTACTTATATCAGCATGATCAGTAAAAAAAATCATGTCTTTTCCTGATTTGTCTCGACTACATTCAATTGCTACAATAGACATACTATGAAAATTTATCATAATGGACATTAAAATAGTGAGGGCTAATTTCAGTGCTTGTTACAAACGAAAAGTAAAATAACAAAACACCGAACTCCAACTTATAGAGCACAAAATCCTATGAGAGTGACATTGGTCTTCTTTGCATGTTTGTAACTCTAAATCTTTATAGGCGATTGAAAAGATGTCGATCAACAGTATATATGTGGCAGTATTCAGCTGTTATCGTATACAATATATAGGACATGTTCATTCAAATAACTGTTATTATAAACTATGCATATGATACATAATTAAAAGAGGAAACAAAAAAGAAGAGAAAAAAGTGGTTATCTTTCAATATTAACTGAAATAAATCTTAATTTTCTATTTTTATCTTGTCAACATAATTTATATTTCTTTCTTGTAATCTGTTAAAAAATAAATAATTTTGTCATTATAACTGATGGAAATTATTTTTAAACAAAGTTAATATTATTTTTTGTATTTCATACTTAATTTCTTCTTGTATGCTGAGTGTGTTAAAGGCCGATTTTGTTATGGGCCGAGTTATCATCGATTCCGGAAATAAGAGCAAGGTGACCATATACCCCAGAAACCCTTCGACATTTTGGGTGTTAGTCAACTTAGTGATAACACCCATGCCATAAAGAAAAAATTCTCAATGGAAATAAATTCAGCTTAAGTCTGTTTGATCAGTAAAGTAAACACTAAATACAAAATTTTACAAAAAGTTGTTTACATTTGTAAGTTTTGTCCTATATGGGAGATAACTAAATAAAGGTGTGAATAATAACCATAAAAAATGTTTTAATTTTACAGCTTCAGAAGTACCATATTATCAGTGCGTCTTCTTACCAAAAAAGAAAAAAAATAGAACTCAAATCATTGAATAGACTTAAATTTTCTTGCTTTTACGAGGTTTAATTACTGATTTCATAATCATAATAATAGTCATTTGCATGTTTATTTTTTGTGAGACAGCTTAATCTTTGGGATTGTCATCAACCAATACCTACATGTAGTTCAACCATGCAACTTCAACGGAATTTTAATATTGGACTAATCTATTTTTGATGCAGATTATTGCATACTGAAATGAAAATTATAGAAAAATGGAATCCTTTTAGTAGATATAAAACAGGGAATAATGAACGCTTTTAGCAAAAGGTGGATTGAATCGAGCTTCTAGCTTAGCTTAGTGTATTCACATTATTTTTATATCTCTCCTTACTCTTGGAGAATGTGGAGGTATTTGGTTCACCACAAACAAAAGTTTTATATATAATATAGTAAATACTTGTATATTATTCATTAGACTGAAAAACGACAAAATTGTTGATTGTAACGAATACCACTCACAGGTTACTTTTACTAAAAATAACCTACGATTTCAAATACATAGCTTACTGTTTTTTTTTTCTTTTCTTAAGAATAGCCATTCAGGCAGATCTACATAAAAACACTATTTTTTATTTAGCGTTCATCATAACCATTTGGCAAATATTGCCATATTTACCACATGTACAACATTCCGAGTACATACAAACCTGTGCTTCTGGATAAGTTTCCAAGCATGGCTTGACCGAGATAAATAAAATTTAAATGCATTTCAGAATGGTAAAAACTTTACTGGATTTTGCTATTATTTTCGTGTTCGTGTATGTACTGTATGTTTTTATGTATGTCTTGACTTTACTCTGATGATGGAGATGAAAAATAGAAGCCTAGGGTTAAAATCTCAACAACATTATATAACACGGTCACATTTTGTTTTGCCTCGTCTAATTAAGTCAGGAACCTCGTCAGTAGTTCTCGTAAATAATATCATGACGTTGTTCGATATTTGGTGATCACAGACACTTGTCTCTGCAAAAATTACCTATATACTTAAATATAACACGAGGTACCTAACTCGTATATTTGAGAAATGTCACCCGGTCGCGAACTTCCACTATATTTCGACTTTGCGGTTGTCTATCCCACTGAAACTTGTTATTCTGTAAATCTACATCGAATTATCTACAAAATGGTGTATGACACGTCTATTTCTATTATCGGAACCATTCGTAATAGGCCTTCCATGTATGTCAACCGCAATCATTTCGTCTTTTCACAGCCCTTTAGAAATATCAATCTCGCAGTGAATGCTTAATTATAAAAAGTATTTTCCAAAGACCTGTTAGTTTTTCTCTAAATAGAACTTATCATCCAAATAATAAATTTGTAAAAGATTCCATGAAACTGAATCTAATTAGTGTTATTTGAGGTATGTCTAATGAGTTACGAGTTTCTATTCTAAGACTCAAATTTTTCATTCCATTGATATCATTCAGACTCTTTCTGGACTTTACATATAAAATTGAGATGACACCAAAAAACATTTATTTTAGCAATAAGATTTGACCAATCGGAAACCGAGATATGTATAAGAGACGGGAAAGATACCAAAGAGACAATTATAATTAACCACTTACTGCGAGATTAATATTTCCAAAGGGCTGTGCGAAAGACGGAATAATTACGGTAGACATACTTGGGAGGCCTGCTACGAATGACTCCGACAATAAAGGAAGGTGTGTTATACACCACTGTATAGATAAATCAATGTTGATTCACGGCAAGTTTAAGTGGGGTAGATAATCGAGGAATCGAAATATAACGAAAGTTCGTGACCGATTGTCATTTTTAAAAAATGCGAGTTATGTACCTTTTGTTATATTAAGGTATATATGATATTATTATTTTTCAGAGACAAGTGCATGTGTTGGTGATTTGGGTGTTAATAGCGTATCGTTGATTGTTTCTCCCAAATTATTCTCTACTGTACATGTATTATAGACAGAGACACTGTCTACAGTAAGAATGCTACTCAAGACAAGCTTCCAATGATTCCGACAGCAGATATGATCGCAGTTTAATATTAAAAAAAAAACATAGTAAAAAGAAACTACATAGGAAATACATCTTGTAAACACATCAAATCGCCTGAATTCTGTACTTTATGGTTTACAATTCCTTGAATTGCTGTTGATTGCTGATACCAGATAATACAGAACATATTTCTAGATAAATATACTTTGTTATGGATAAAATCATCTCTCAGTACATAGGTACAGGCCGAACTTGACAATTGATCACTATGATACGTTTGACCAGAGACATATACTAAAATTTTATGTATTATATGTCTCTGGTTTGACATACTGTTGATATAGAATATTAATAAATGATTAATCTAAAGGATTGAAAGATAAGATAAAATCCAAGACATTCAAACTTTATATTTTGGGAATTAAACACAAAATGCTTATAACTGTTATGCATCTAGGTTCTAGCATCCTAAATATATTTCCAATTGCACAGGTTTATCTGTACTCAGAGTAAAATTTAAGGTGTAAACACGGTACATCTTTATCCGAACACTTTTTGTATACAAATGGCGTTAGCCGATTCGGTGATCCTAATTTACACCATGTCATTATTCTATATGATTCATCATGTTCATGCAAAATAACATTCTTTTTATAATTTAGAAAGCGATAAAAGAATCGCTGAATCTTTCAGAAATTTAACCCTATAAATTACATAGAAGTGTTATCATTTATCAGCAAAAAGATCAGATTTTGGCAACTCAACCAGAAAAAGACAAGATAATACAGAAACTCATATTGCCAAACAAAAGCAGTGATAAGGGTATCAATTTAATGACAGAAAAATAGACACAATTAAGATTTCATTTCAAATCCATAACTACAAAACATTTTCTGAAAGTGTTACTGCATCTGGAAAATTTCAGATAATGAATGACACTTTTCATGATTTATCTTTAATAATGGCTCTTTTTAGAACAAGAGAAAAGATGAAATACTTATTTATTACTTCTTATTGCCAAACAAAAGCAGTGATAAGGGTATCAATTTGATGACAGAAAAATAGACACAATTAAGATTTCATTCCAAATCCATAACTACAAAACATCTTCTGAAAGTGCTACTGCATCTGGAAAATTTCAGATAATGACTGACACTTTTCCTGATTTATCTTTACTAATTGTTCTTTTTAGAACAAGAGAAAAGATAAAATATGTATTTATTACTTCTATGTAAATCAGATGTAATCGTCTCATATCTTCGGAGCTAACACACCTCAGATAGGAGAAACTTACATCTAATACTTACAGTTAATGCACGATACAACAATTCATGGTGTGTAAATACTGTTATACCATGTATACAATGGTATACATAATGCACTATTCTATTAGAGAGTCATTAGACATTTTCCTGTTCATCAATCAATTTCAGTGAGGGAAGCTATTCATTAATGTTAAATATTGTTTTTTTAAACTATAAACATAATGCAATTATGTGTTCAGTTGACAAATATATGCAATTTACCTCCACCCCCTTTCATTTTTTCTCATTTTTTACCATTTTTTGTCTTTTTTTATTTACTAAATACCTCACTTTTTTCGCAGTCTCCACCTATGAGCATAATATTAACATATCCAGCAAAGAAATAAACGTGTAACTTAATTGGCACGAATCAATGCATGGTAGTGTACACATATGATATGTATTTGTGTTAAATTAATGAACTGCAAATTATATCATATGTGACTTAATTCGTTAAATATTTCAAAATAATGATTTCATATAAAGGAACGAGCTTGAACAATGCTATAAAGATCGGTTAATTAAACATAATATAAGGCCAAACCGAGGATTTCAAATGATTATGCACATTATCGATCTAATGACCTAAATACTGGTTTTCAGAAAACATAAACCAGCATACAGTTATGTAAACTAAATTCATAACCTGGTAATAAAACACGTCATCTATCAAGAAGACATGTATGTATAATATTTTATTTCCTCTATTATTCGATCGTATTATTTACATAAGTATGCACTTTACAATCATCTATTGATTGTTATTTTGCACTTTTATTTAAACTGACATATGATTTTTTTTTTACATCCTATTATTGGACTTGTTGTATTACTTTATAATGATTCTACATGAAATTTTGGGTATAAACGTGCAGCTTGGATTTCAAAAACACCACTCATACATACATTAAAGATGGTGAATACCACGAGCCATTTATTTTTCAGTTATAACATATTCTATTTTTGACAACTTAATTTGTTTTAAAACGACACAACAGTGCATTATACAAAAATCTAATAAAAAAATTAAAAAAAATTAATGACCCATCGACATTTTACCTTGATGAATTTAAAACACCCATTCCAGCGGCACGTCTGTGTGTACCTTCACAGAGGAAAAGACCCCATGTGGACCATGTACATGTATTCAAATGTATGATATTTTATCATCATATCTGGAAAACAATTATACCTGTTGACCTCAGGATCTATGCCTGATTCTGATATTCGTTATAAATCAAATTTAAGATTTTTAGTTAACTTTGTTGGCATGATATCGATAACTTATACCACTAAAAATTGTTTACATATTAAACTTACTTGATTTAAAATGTAAAATAAATAATTGAACTCAAATGTCAGAATTATCCGAAGGAAAGATAATGTTAATGCTATATCAAATCAAATACATGTACTATCATTTTGACCATATACCATATACAATTGTGCACAATCTGACACTTCCCCTCCCCCCCCCCCCCCAAAAAAAAAAAAGAAAAAAAAGAAAAAAGAAAGACTTAAAGTATATCCTTGTCAGTACAATTGTATATCAAATGATCGCAGTTTAATATTAGAAAAAAACATAGGAAAAAGAAACTATATAGGAAATACATCTCGTAAACACATCAAATCGCCTGAATTCTGTACTTTATGGTTTACAATTCCCTGAATTGCTGTTGATTGCTGATACCAGATAATACAGGACATATTTCTAGATAAATATACTTTATTATGGATAACATCATCTCTCAGTACGTAGGTCCACGCCGAACTTGACAAGTGATCACTATGATACGTTTGACCAGAGACATATAATAAAATTTTATGTATTATATGTCTCTGGTTTGACATAATGTTGATATAGAAATATTTGTTTGCATTTGATAATGATATTGCTGATCAATTGTTCTAAGCTTTGATCCATTAAATTATTCTCCTGAACTAGAGATTTAAGAAACCACAGATTCAGCTTCCTCCGCCTCATTTCTAGAAACTTACCTCGAATTTGACAATAAATAAGTGGGAAGTAAATCTATATTTTAATCAGAAATATGACAGTTGTTTTCCACTTGTAACGTTGGTTTATAACGTTTGATTTTGTCAGTTTTTATGGACTTCCCCTTTTTGAATTAACCTTGGAGTTCAGTATTTTTGTGGTACTTTTTAATACAAACTACTCAGACGAGTCACGAGCACATCTTTAAGCTGCTATGAAACTAGTTAAGAACAACGCTTTCAATTAAACATCTTAGAATAAAATTGAGAATGGAAATGGGGAATATGTCAAAGAGACAACAACCCGACCAAAGAGCAGTTTTCTCCAACACTACCAGAACTCTTTTAATATTAAGATGTATCGTTAACAAGAAGCAAGGATTAGCGCATACGATGACACTTTTACGACCGGGATTGTTTGTGCCTCGAAGGTGACATCTTTTTGAGTCGATAATAAGCATTAGATAAGCTTCGTAGTTCTGCTTTCGGTCAAACCATTTGTTATATCTCATCTCATTTTGGTAGCAGAGTGCATAAAAGTCTGTAAACATTCATCTAAATAAACCAAAACAATATATGGCAACTGTTTTTTTACAGAAGAGTCCGAATTTAGGAGTATTGCTGGAAATTATGTGTAGTATTTAAATACATAACAGGATGGATAGTACAGTAGTACCAGGATTATTTGGATTGAATCTTAATCTGATGTACGTTTTAGACATCCCAATGATTTATGACGAAATCGAAGCACTTAACATACGACTGAAAGTTGAGCATAAGTGTGTACATGATGTTCTTAATAATATGATAGCTATTTTGAAAACAAAACTACCAAGATTGCGATGTTATGCAAAAGAACATCTTGAACATATTTTAGAGGAAAATAAGGACAATTTAAACGCATTGTCCGATCTAGCACAGATTTATAAGGGGTTGCACAGAATATCGGACGCAGAAAGATGCAGAAAACACATGGCACAAATCCTTCTTAGCACCCAAGAAGAAGACGTGGTTAATAAAGCCGTTTGTCTTTTGGAACAAGGGTATGCCTTGGTGCACGATATGTCAGCAAACATTGAAAATATTGCAAGCAGTAAACTAACTGATGCACATAAACTGCTGCAGTCGGAACACCAAAAAAGCGAACATGAGCGAAGATTGGTGCTCCAAAAATGTGTTTTCCACAATAAACAGACTATCAGTAATTTAGAACAATCTATTCAATGCAGTAGAACGAACAAATACTTTCTCAGGAAAATAACAGCCCTTGAACAATTTGAAAAGGCCCAAGTCATCTGTAGCAAATTTCCATACAAAATAGTATGGTCATATTACATTGGGGAGGCATGGAATCGCCATGTCGATTCACTACAGAGGCAAAGAACTGAACATAGAAAAATAGATGTCTTAGATGCTACCTGTAAGGCGATTGAAATATTTTTGAATGTTGCCAATATGAAAAATGACATTGACAAGAAACAAACTTACATTTCAAGATCACTAGCACAAATAGGCCATATCTTAATAAAACGTCGCAAGACACTTGAAAATAATCCTACAGATTTTGAATTCTTTCAAGATGAATCATATGTGAAATATTTTAAAGACCCATTGATACCATTAAAAAAGGCTTATGACATGCAGAAATATAGGCCAGATTCCTTTGTACTGAATAAATATGGACGTGCCTTATTCCATCTTTCGAAAGGGACAGATTTTCGTGAAAAACTACAGCGACTTAAAATGGCTGAAGACATACTAACTATTTCAACACAAAATTTTACCATGAACTGGTTTGCTTATAGTACGCGTATGGAAGTTTACGAAAGTTTGGGGGATTTTCTTTTAACAAAAAATCAAGGTTTGTCTTGGCAGTACTTTCAAAGCGCACTCAACGATGGACACCAATGCTTCAAATCAAAAGGATCTGCTATTGATATGGAAAATTTGGCAAGAATATGTCAGAAAATGGCGAAATTCCCATTCACCAAAAAAGAAGGCGCTCATATGGTCAATGATAAGGTGTTCCTTCACTACGCTCTTGATTATTTGCAGCATGGTATAGCTTTATCGGGCCACAATGAATACACCATCGCCAATAGAATGGCGTCATGTTTATATGATTTGGATGAGCTTGTTACAGCTGCTGAATGGATGAAACGAGCGTTATCCCTATGTTCATATGTTAAAATACACGACTTTAAAATTACGTGTTTATATCTTCTGAAACGATATGGCATTGAAAGCAAGATTATTGGAGGTGACAAGCCCTACTATCTTCTCAGAGAAATAATCTACATTCTACTTAAATGCAAAAGACTTAAAGAGCATAGGAATACGGAAAAAGTGTATGAATACATTATCAGTAACGACTACTCCGATCTGTTTTCACTTATAAACGATGTAGTTACTGTAAAAAAATTGCTAAAACAAACCGGTCTTGATATAATTACGGAAATTTTGGAATGTGACACTGCAATAAGTAATTTAGACACAGGACGACAGAAGCAGCTTGAACGATTCAAAGAACAAATATCATCTGTCGTTCCACAAGACGATAGTGAAATGGATCTCGAAAAAGAGTTTGAAAAATCAATAGCACCTATTCCAATTTCTCTGGAGACTCATCAGGTACCCGAAGGATATCAATACAATTTCTTCGTATCTCACAGTAAGAAAGACAGTGACTGGGTTGTCAATATGCTTCTTTTCGAGTTAGAAAAGCAGTTTTCAGAGGAAGATGTAGCTTTCAAAGGTAATGATATCTAACGAAATTCTTACCTAATTGCGATTTGTGTTCACGTTTATTTTATAAGCCATGCGTGTCATCTAAAACCTTCATCTATTGTCGCTTAAACAGTAAATGCCATAAGTTGCAGAGTACCAGTTCTACTGATTTTCTTATTTTTCTTCCAAAAAATGTATGTTTTTTTGTACCTTGCTTTTATCATGTTTATGGTACATCTAACTATCTACATATTGAAAAATTAAGTTAATCCACAGTTACCACTAGCCTTTCAACACGGTTGTTGGAAGTTCAAACTCTGCTCGTGTCAATATTCGTTTGTTTCCAGTCTGAATTGACTTGAATTGATTGTGTTTCTGTCAAAGGTATGAATTGTTTTCCTTATACACCACTTTTCCTCACAAATAAAACTTTTCGCCATGATATACCAAAGAGTGTTGACAATTTCATCAATCGCAAACCATCAACCAATAAAAAGATAAAGACATCTCGCTTTCAATCGAAGAAAAAGATAGCAACAAATATTTAAGAAAAAAATATTTTTTTATGATCATTTTCAACATTGATAATAAAAAGCAAGTATATCTAATGGTGAATACTATTTGGGTATATCGTAACTCTTTAATCAAATAAATAAGAGTTATAGCAGTTGTAATCCAAGAATTCAAATATAGAAAAAAACAGTGTTGTTCGACACTTCAATTTATGAATTAGTTATTCTTTTTGATAACATTGATCAACTTTTTTTCAGAAAATAAAGTAAACAATGCCAGAAGATATTTGTTTACGCATTTTCAATGCGATTTGATGGAGCGTCATCGACAATATCTGGACAACACCCATTCTTGTATGGTGTCAGAGGGGTGCAATTTCCGTATTCTATTTTACTTAGAAATCACGATATTTCATCATGATCAATGTTGCCAATGTAATAATTGTGTAAATCATTTACAGGTTGTATTGCGGACCGGGATTTCGTTCCAGGAAAAACTATAATCAGGAACATCACAGATGCAATCAGAAGAAGTTATAAGGTAATCCTTGTGCTAACAAGAAATTTTGTTGCGAGCCCTTGGTGCAAGAACGAAATGGAAAGAGCATTAATACGACATATAAATGATAAAGATAGTTGTGTCATACCCCTTTTGATGGAACCGTTGACAGATGAGCAGATTCCTGATTGTTTGAAAAATATTACATATTTAGATTTGACAGATGAAAGCACAAGAATTCAAGAGATAAGCAGGCTGAAGCGGGCTTTGTTATATGTACCTGGTGACGATATTATATACGTTAGGGAAGACAAGTGAATATTAGAATGTGGCAATATAATGAATATTTGTAATTTAAAATTCGAATCGACATGCGAGATATATATATACTGCAAGTTGGTTCAACTATAAAGAAGCATATCAGAAAATGCTGTCACAGCTTTATTCTTTCACAATTTATTAAACGACACGTGACTATTACAAAAGTTATGTTAACCCATTCATTTTATTTTCTCTTATATTTGACTGGCTCGTATTGTACTATTTTATACGATGTTTAATTAGATGAGTATATTTTGTCATTTACTAACGAAATTGATTAGGTCATGATTGATCATGATAATTCACTGATTTCAAGAAAGGCGCAGAAGCATCATTTTATGACTTTCTTATATTAAATGTTTTCTCTAATAAATAAAGGAATATGTAGGGTACACGTCAATAAGACAACAACCCGACAAAACAAATAACAAATTGACGGGTATACACACATTTTGAAGCAATCAACAGGAGTCAATAAATTATTGCAGGGTCTAAATCTCCCTTGATCGAAAATAGAATAATCTATAAATAGCGAAGAAAATATTAAAAGCACATTCGGGTCATATGAGATCAAATTCGAAAAATAATTTTCAAAACAAATGAAAACAAGGAAGGTGAAATTGAATACCCGTTCATAGTTCATACTTTAACACTAGATTGTTTTGGGGTCCATGGTTTTCAAACTTTAATATTAGTTTTATGTAAACATTTTGTATGTGTTTTTCTCTCGTTTGACTATGATGTTGTATGGTCAGCGTAGGCAATTTATAACTTTGATTTTTCCTTGTTGTTCAACTGCTTCCAGCAATTATCATCCATATAACTCGTTAGTCTTTTTAAAGTGAAGAAAAGTACAAACGTATAAATCTATAAATTGATGGGATAATCAACTTTCAGTTGTATTTTTTTCCTCGTTGTTAGTAGAAGGAGATTGAAAAAATCTTGATATCGAAGAAAAATATAATGACCCACACAACAGAGAACCTAAAGCTTTAGTCCTAACAAGTCCAAAGGAACACATGTTATATTATGCTCTCTATGGACGGTAAAACGCAGGATAGATAATGTACAGGTCATAGTCTGCATATTGTGGACAATGTTTTAATAAGTAGAAAAACATGCAGGCAATACAAACAAAATGGGAGATTTTATTTGTGGAGAGAAAGAGAATTATTATTTACAACAAGGAAGTTTTAGGTATTTCAAGTATATTAAGATAAGGATTCTTTAATATTCTATGCCCAGTGGGAGATTTTGACCCCGTAAGTAAAACAAACAGAGGAGAAGTTGGCCATACTCCTTAATGAAGATATTCAGTGACTGAAAGGGTAGGTTGGAGGATAAATAATAAATATGTCTAGACTACAGATTTTCTACAAATGTATGCATGGAGTCAGATCAAATCCGGTAAGTAATGCAAAATGAAATTACAATAGGTATATAATTGCATAAAACAAAGGAGTAAGCATTTTTTTTTAAAGGTACACTAAAGGGTTATTAAGGGTAATTTTCTTTTAACATAAATTTTATTTGTATCAGTATTATCGTGGTAAAGGCATTTGTTCACCGTGCAACCATATAACGTAAATAAACAAGGTTTGAAGAAGATCAATGAAGTATATGTTGTCCGTAATTGATGTAATTTTGTCTTTGGGCTGTTGTTCCTTTGTCGTTTACTTTATCTTAATTAAGAAAAATACATATATTTTACTGTTTACAATATACAGCTGCAGAAGAAATACATGAATGAAATCCAGTTTATCGTATAGGTAATGGTCAATTTTGACATGTTTATAATGTTATGTTTATGATTTTTCTGCCTAAAAGTTTCTGCATACTAAGTAATATCAAATAACTGGTTCATTTATCAGAAGAATTAATATAAAACAGCATGAATGTCTTTCCTTTTTTCAAGTTCAGGGGTTGAACTTTGGCCCTTACTTATCATTACTCCGCATTTGCTTAAATAAAGGTTAACGGTAAATAGTTTGCTCCACTGACGTTAACTGTAACCGCAAAATGCGATTTGAAGTATGACAATACACCTTTTAGACTCATTTAACGCTAAAAGACTTTAGCGTTGAAAAAATAACACCTGAAGCATAAGACCATTCCAATCCTCCTGATATGTTTGCGGTAGGGGAATATTTCTTATTATGCTTTTGAAATATACAAATAATTTAAAACTTGGCAATATAAACGAATTTTCAAATCGTTATAACCGTAAATAAAGGGTGGCAGTCGAGCTGTTTGGACAAACCAAACTCTAAAAAAACAAACAATACTCTTTTAGACTGAGTTTTACTGTGCGTATTGCTGTGTGTTTGTTTATTCTGCATTGGCTAGAGGTATAGGGGAGGGTTGAGATCTCACAAAACATGTTTAACCCCCCCGCATTTTTGCGCCTGTCCCAAGGCAGGAGCCTCTGGCCTTTGTTAGTCTTGTATGTTTTTTAATTTTAGTTCATTTATATGTTTTGGAGTTTGGTGAAATGTCCATTTTCATTGAACTATTACTCATTTTTGTTTAGGGCCAGCTGAAGCCCGCCTCTGGGTGCGGGATTGTCTCGCTGTGTTGAAGAACCATTGGTGGCCTTCGGCTGTGTTCTGCACTTTGGTCGGGTTGTTGCCTCTTTGTCACATTCCCCATTTCCATTCTAAATTTTGAGTAAAGACTGTTAAATCAGAGATTTCGCTTCGAGTTTCATTATTTGTCCCTCCTTTTTGCAAAGACAAAGTACGCCTAGATACGGGCTTTGTCATTTTTCTAACAAAATTATGACAGCCTATAATTGATTTTGATAATTCAATAGCATCCGAAAAAAACGTAGTTGCATTAGATTATGATAGTTCTCCTTGATACGGAGCTTCTCATTTTCGAACGAAATTATGATAGGTCATGATTAATCTTAATTCTATTGTGCAATATATCGTTGTTACAGCATTTTATGATTTGCTCTGTTTTATTGTTACATGAAGTGATGATTGGGTAGTACGCGTCAATAAGACAGCAACTTTAGAGCAATACGACTATTCGTGTTTACATAAAGTTTTCAACAATTATAGGTATATATTTAGATTACGGTAAGCGATGAATACATCCAATTCTAACTAAACTAACTATAAATTAAACGCACACGAGTTCAAACTTCATCATCCTAAGCTTTGATCATACCAAATCACATTTGAACAACGAAGATACGCCAATTACAAATGTACCCCTTATGTAGACGAATCACGTGTTTGGCATATTAAATGACAAGTTTGGTATATTTGATAAGTGTTCACATTAGAATCATTTTCAAGAACAAGGTTTATTCTTTTCCTAAATTCATATTATCACAACCAAATATGTGTCATTTAAGGTCACAATAATATTGTGGCTGATTATTAAACGGGTCATCAAATATCCAAAAACGCAGTATTCAGATATTTTGGCATACTTTGGTATTCCTCCCAAAATATGCAAGAGGGATATCAATACCAAAAAACCAAATTATGTTGGAATTAAAGCTATGTAATGTCTTTAAGATACAAATTAATTCATTTTGATAAGTGTATCAAAATACATCAAACAGCAAAACGTACAAACAGCACTTTGTTGCTTTTTAATTTAATGGAAAAATATAAAATTGTGAAGCATATTTTAAAGTATGATAAAGACTCGTTTTAAAATATGCAATGTGCACTGGGATATTTTGACCCAGTTAATAGACTCTACTTCTTAAAGTGTGTTTGAAAGGATAAGTTACACGATAAAACATTAATATCAATAGATTTTTTTTGTATTCATGGAGTAAGATAAAATCGTGCAGGTAATAAAATATAAATGAACTAAGGGCATTTAATTGTTTCAATATTTGTGGTAGTGGTGGGTGCGGGGAGGGAGGAGGGGAACTAATTTTAATATTTTTTAACGAGGAAGAGTCTATTGTGTGTTTGATACTCTATTGGCCGCTGTATATAGCATCAATGGTCAAATAGGAGACATAGTTATTACATGACACTCACGTACAGCTTTACGCAATAAACCCAAACTTAGTTAAATACGCGTAATAACACAATTTGCTTAAACTTGGAAGAGTAAAATGATTCATGGAAGAGGTCAGTTATGTATGGTTTCAGGTGATTATTTGTATCTAGTAAATGTTTGAAGCTTTCACTAATTATTGTTCCCTCATTCTATAATGAATACATAGATGAATCAATTGGACAAGACGAAATAGGAGTGGATGTGTAAGACAACAATTTAATAATATTCTATGGGAGATTGATATTAAGAAGCAACCAATTTGTCAATTAAGCTGTGCGTTTAATACGTTTCTTTACAGTTAATAGAAGATCTTCAGCAAAATACTACTATAGCTCAAATCTAGTGGAGAGATACGTTTATGTCTGCTTTTAATCTAGTTTGTTTTTAGTTTTGCCATCAAAAGTGAATTTAAAGAGCTAAAATTTGACGAGAGGCTATATTAATCTATCCAGACGATCGCGAAGAGATGCAAACTGTTTCTGACTTTTTTTTATAATATAAAATGATGTTTTCGATTTAAAGGGAGTTAACGTAATTTATTTAACGCATGAATCCGCCCTACCCATATTCAACTTTGTTAACTTTAACTAGATATGAATGTGTCCTGATTCTCTCGTGATCATGTGATCATGTGAAGGAAGTTAACGATCTGTTAAAATTGTGTGGACCTGACTTAATATTCCTTATCAATGTGGTTTGTAATGTTCAACACTTCATTGTCTTTCTATTCGGTATGAACATTCTGTTGTTCATATTTGTGTCCTCAAACTTGACATTTCTCATTTCCAACTGTAAGGTGACATTTCTCATTTCCAACTGCAAGTTGACATTTCTCAATTACAACTTCACAAATCTTAGTTCCCAGTTTACATATTTCAGTTATATAAGTTGGAACGGAGAAATGTCAACTTGGAAATGAAGGAAAACACATTATTAGTTTCTTGCGTTCGAAGTGACCATTGAAATAATATATACTCAAGCATGCTACTCATTCGTGCCTTCTCTTTTAATACATGTGTGGTTCGGTGAACACTTGTGGGCTGTGTCAACTTTTTATTTGTTGGTGTATAGGTAAAACAATTATCATTTTTGAAGTATTTTAAGAATTGTTAGTTGTTTTATTTTTTTTAATTTAAAGAGACGATGGATGAGAAGTTAGCGGCCGATTCGTTATTCGTTATTTGATATTCAATATCCAACCGGCTGCTAGCAGTCGGTTCGATATTCAAATTTCTTAGTTGAAAATGATATAAATTCAAATATTTGATAACATTAAAAGCATGATAGTCATAGTTAAAAGGAGTAAAAAAGAGTAAAAAGATATGTAGGAAATCGTTTGAAGACCCCTTCAAGTTGTCGTAAATTCTCGTTGTCCTCCAATATAAACCCTAATGTAAATCGCACATTTGTCTTATCAATGAAATCAAAGATATTCTTTTATACATGATATTTCTAGAAACAAAAACAAACGATCACTCTAACATTTAAAAATATCAATAGAAATAATTATGGAAAGCCTAGTCAAAAAGAAATTGTCTCTTTTCAGCTAAAAATCGTCGAAAAATCCGGTAAAAGGGCACAGGGCGATGGCTAGACCTCCCTAATCTTACAATCTTCATAATATTATGCAAATAATTAGATAATATAAAGGTACACATGACAATAAAAGGAATTTCGGTAAACTTCCTGTCTTCTATGTTTACGGAGGGCTCAAAGTGCCAGTTTGATGTTCAAAATATATAGTGAAAACCTGCCGGAGACCGCTTAAATGACGATGAGACCCCGGTCTTTCAATGTCCTTAAATTCAAGGATTTTTCAGACTATGTATATAAACAAAACGATGTCATCTTCGATATCTTCGAAGGGCTTAAATTGTCACTTTTCGGCAAAGGTCCTTATACCTGAATTTTAGACGATTTTTAATTAAAAAAGTGACACTTTAAGCTCTCCATACATAACAAAAATAACATTTCTGGGAATTCCTTCTGATAGGTTCTGCATATACACGTAATTTAAAAGATCATTAAATTCTAGGGACACTGAAAGACTAGGGGGCCCTTATATCTGTATATATTTTGCATATGAAGTCCGATTTCTATAGATGTTTCGTTTTATATTTTCAAATCTTACGAAAGTGGCCGTTTGTTTTTGCTTGTTGAAAAATTATCTTTTAAATGTACATCTTTGATTACATTTTATTGATAAAAAGAAGTATTTCATAAAAAGAAATATTCGATTCACAGATTCTGAAGGGGTTTATTTTTTAGAACAACGAGAATTTACGATAACTTGGATATGTCACAAAAAGATTTCCTACATCTCTGTTTACTCATTTTAACTACTATAAACATATAATGTTATCGAATGATTAAGTTTTTATTACTTTCAACTAAAACAATTTGAATATCGAATAACGAAAAACGAACAGGCCGCTAACTTCAAATACATAAAAAGACGTTGGATATACGTTAATTAGATGGCAGCAGAGACAACACAAAGGCAACAATACAAAACAAAACACAAAAATTTGTTAAGTTGCTACATAATTTACAAGGGATCTGTCATCAACACCAAGTCAATACACAAGAGGCACTAGTGTATTAGTTAATGAGGTTGTAACATGTTATTATGAATATGAGAGCAGAAATTCAAAATACTGCTGGTGCACATAAGCTGGATCCTGTCAAAGTGCAGTTCGCATTCAATATTTTGAAGCAAGTGTATTTAATGAAAGTTTATTATAAATTGGCCTTCCTCTTTATTGTTAATATACAGGTATTAATTGATACAAAAAAATAAATTTAAACAGCATAAAACCGACAACTTATATCATATTAAATGTTTGAGATTATTAAGTTAGACATTTGATCTTGCTATCTTATTGGGTCATTCGTATCCGGTTCCGAGGAAAATGTCGGGAAATATCAGACGGACACAATATACTGTTATTGTTGTTGAATGTTTAAAAGCATTTCTCTGTTCCATTAAAGGACACATATTTTAAACAATTTTGTTTATTGTATATGTACATGCATGCACAATGATTCGCTGATTCATTTTTTCGTTAAAGGCACTTGTATTGAAAGATATTTTAAACATTTAAGTGCTTCGTACATGCATAGTTGTTAAAAAAAAGACCTACCTCGTAAAAAAGCAGCGTAAAAGTTACATACAAATGAAGATTTAGGTAACTATACAAACGAACAAAAACGTTCTAAACTGGATGATGTCAGTGACGTTTTTTGATAAGTAAAGTCGAAGACCAGAAATCAGCAGCAGAATGTTGAAAACAAAACAGAAACACATTGACGATGATAACCACTGGCATGTTGCCCACCTTGTGTATTCAATACTCCCACATCCCGATAAGTTTAATAAGTGGGAACACAAACTAACATATTTTGATCTTTTTGTCAGCTTTATGTAGATATGATGAAATAGTGTTCTTTCTAAATCTGATTTGACCTATAATTGTTTACTTTTTTCACATTGTGACTTGGATGGATAGTTGTCTCATTTGCACTCATACCACATCTTCTTATTTATATTCTTTCTAAGTCTGATTTGGTTGTTTTTTTTTGCCAATGTCTGTTTGTAACTTGACTTGTCCAGGGTTTTTAGCTGACTTGTCATCTGGTTTACGTTTTTTGTGTATGCATCTGTCTTGTTATGGTATACACCCTACTTAAAAGATAACTTTATTTGTGTTCTGAACCTCGTACAATGTAGTTTTGTATTTATAACATTCATGTTCACAGAGTAATCTTGGATGTTAAACATTATATATGCAATCAACAATAGTAAAATTATCGAACAATGATTTGCAAACCTTATTCGTAAAACAATAACTTAATCAATAATATAATGTTTAACAAGTACTAAATAGATTAACATAAAGTATGGGTTTAGTTTTGTAATAAATACAACAAATAGGTACAATTATTAATATTATCCGAAAGGATTATTTACATCTGCTGCAACTTAAGTATCTAATAGCCCACATTTGCAATCTAGTACAAACCGGTCTGAATGAATGACTGATTATTGAACAAAAGACTGATTTTAAGTTGTAGATTATAATGAATACAAATAAATCCAAGGGAGTTTATATCCGATGGTTACCTCGTTATTGGTTCACATTTGAAGATATATTATGGATAAGGTATGTAGGACATATCTTTGATCTTAGCTTTTCCACTCTTAATAGTTTATCTTCCATTTAGAAAAAAAAATACAGAAGTAATGAAATAAAAAACGAAAATACATAATAAAGAAATGATGATTTTATAGGATTTCCATATAGACACGATATCACGAAAATGATAATAAAACAAAATACTCAGATAATTACATAACAGTATCAGATAGATTCAATGATCATTGCTTTACAGTATAATAATTATTCCGTACCTGATAATTTCAATAGGTTAAAAGATTCCTTTGAAAAATGCAGATATGTAAAAATTCTGAAAGAAATCATCAGTTCATTATTTTTTTACTGCATTTGCATAATGATTTCATTTAAGTAGCATGGTGTTTCTAAAAATGTTCTCGCTTTGTTCAGATGAGAGTGAAACAATATGAATCACAATTTTTTTCATATAACTGCAGCTATTCAGTCATTTATATGTTCAGCCAGTGTATAACATTTTGGAATTCTTCGATTTTATTCGCATTGATTTTATTCTGTTTATTTTTCAGTACATTCCTTTGCGGTCTACAAACTTGATTGCAGCTTGTTTAATTCTGATTTTGATAATAATGTATATATTTGATTCTGTGATCGTGAATACTGATATGTTTTACGAATGGTCTTCATCTTATACAAATGATGGAATAAAAAGGTGGTTCATCAATACGAATACATTAACGAAGAGGAGGCTTGTTGATTCTATTAATTGTCATGCACTGCTAACAGGACAGAAACGTGAAATTAACATGGCAAACAGACTGGCAAACGAATATCTAAACGTTTTATCGCCTTTTTATTATATCAGTCGAACACGTGTTTGTAAGAAGTTTCTCCGAGACAGAAGCTACACTACATCAACACTTTCAAGCGAGGAGGAAGCCTTTCCAATAGCTTACAGTATGCTCATATTCAAATCAATCAATCAATTTGAGAGATTACTTAGAAGTATTTATCGACCTCAGAACTTCTATTGTGTTCATGCTGATACGAAAATGTCCGATGTACGCAGAAAGGCGCTGGAATCAATAGTCAATTGTTTTGACAACGTGTTCATGTCATCTAAATCGTATAACGTTAAATGGGGAAAAATAACAGTATTACAAGCTGACATAATTTGCATGCAGGATTTACTGAGATATAAGAAATGGAAGTATTTTATAAATTTAACAGGGCAAGATTTTCCATTAAAAACTAATCTGGAAATTGTAAAAATTCTGAAGGCTTATGACGGTGCAAATGATGTCTCAATTTCAAACAATCAGTAAGTTAAATGTAGTATACAGCATCGAAGAAATAGCAATTCTGGATAAACGTTAATGAAACAGCAACAAAACAGACCTATAATAGTTACTTAACAGACGGCAATAGGTTAATAGTATTTGAGTGCAAACAAGGGAAAACTGTCGTGTCCATATTGATCGATTCTAAACGATAAAACCTTTAAAGATGAAAGATAGATCAAGATATTATAGGAAGTAGAGTAGCAAGCAGATATCCCTATATCAAAATTACCCCTATTTATATAATCATTTGGTTTGTAGGGAAAAAAACAAAGAAAAAAAAAGGGAAAATTGGGGAAAGGTATTTTCACTGATATCATTTTTACGATTTTGTGCATTATACTGGATTTCGCATTGTGGATAGCACAACATTAAAAGATCGATCACGATTTAAAAAAAAAAACATGTTCATTTGTGAGATTTTTCATTTAATGAAAACACAATTTACAAGAATTTTCTTCCTATTTTATCTAAAATTCATTCATTTACCTTTCTTTCTATTCAAATAACAATGTTTTTCGTATAACCTTTACAAGTTATATAAATTGATTACAATATGAAGTTATACACTAAGATCGCTGAACTGTAATTTGTTTAATTCAAAGAAGAACAAATATCAACAAGATTTTGTAAAAATTTTGTAAAATATAAAAAAATCTCTTATTCTGTTAAGTATACCCTATATTTCACTAACGATTTATATCTAAGGCTTTGAATCTTACAAAAATCGTTTAATGACCTTTAGTCATCGTGTGGCGTTCCTGTATTTGAGAGGGTAACACAATTGTCATACTGTGCCGACGATGTGGCTGCTTGTGTACGAAGAACGTTCTACACGATATACAATATTCATATGAAAATTAAACGGAGTAGCACTATTGTTTGCCCAAACAAATAGCCCTTCTAAACGAACTCAGACATTGAGTAAGCAAATAAAAAAATTAAGTATAATTCAACGGATTGAGTCACAAGACACAATTTGCCAAAAAAAACAAAAAAATAAATAAATAAAAATGATAAAAATAAAAAAAATTCAGAGATATTCTGCATATTTTCGATTGCAAGTTTTGCTGAGAATTCCGAATTCGTTTTTTAATCATTCCGAATAATGAGTGTTGCATATAAAACTATAAAATAAAACATGTCATTGATCTTGCATGGTTACAGATATTTGATGCTGCATGTTGAATTCTATATATGAAAATAAGAAGATGTATATATATATATATATATATATATATATATTTCAAATAAGAATCTGAATTTCCATTCCCCATCATAACGAGCGAATACACACGATGTTAGTTGTGCTTACTTAATATACATATAATGATATTATACTGTTTTAGAGCAAAATTTGCACATCGATGGACAAATATTAAATCCTCACCGCCTGGAGTATTTCCATACAAAGGTAGTTTACATATAACTGTTAATCGACGGTTTGTGGAGTATGCCATTACAAACAAAACAGCCAATCAACTTTTGAAATGGTTGGTTGGAACAATCATTCCAGACGAAAGCTTTTTCTCTACCCTCAACTTTAATTCGAATCTTGGAATTCCAGGGTCGTTTCAAGGTATTTGATATCGTACATTTCTCAAATGACAAACATAAAGGAAGCAAAAAACCAAACTAATGTCTTTAAAAGCAAAGAAAATATTCTAAAATTTAAATTTCCAAGCAGTGTTACTGCTAATTTTAATGTTATCATATATTAACTCTCAATACTACAACATTGAAAGATATGATGTGTATAACTTTGCTTTATTTCAATTTTGATAAATTTGAACCATCTGATATCAAGATAATATTTATATTATTTTTTACGCTAAATGTACAACACAATTAATCTGACGAACACTAGGGTTTATTAACCAATGGCATTTGAATATCATGATTCAGTTAAAATCTTCAGAAGAACTTTGAAGGAACATTTTCAATATTTATGGAGTCTCGAGTACAACAATTTAACTTGAAGATTTTAGTTTGTTAGATAAAAAAATAAAGAACAATTGGATATGATAAACTTTTTCTCTACTTATTTTTCGGGTTTCCAATAATTTCAACCATTCATTATTCTTATTTCCTAAATGACACAGTAGTTTATATATTTATGATTGCAGTTGGTTATGAATTTTGTCTCAACATGCTCAAGATGGTTTCAGAGTGCCAAATTATTTCATATTTAATCGATAGTCTTAAATTATCAAGATGCAGAATTAACTATGAAATCATCAATGAAAGAATATTGTTTCTATGATATAAAAACTATTTCGTAAAACATAACAATTATTATAAGAAAATATCAAAGCGGCAACAAAATAAGTTAAAATATAAATCAAGTGTGAATTAATAAAATACTGTTAACAGATCAAAGTTACAAATATGCGATGGTAATGACCTTTATTTATTTATTTTAATAGGTAATTTGAACAATGCTATGGCACTGTATAAAAGCATGACACGATATAAAATTTGGAAGTTGGAGGATAAAAGTTGTAATGGTCAATATGTACGTGCAATATGTATTCCAGCGGTTGAGGATCTGTCCAAAATTCACAGTCGTCCGGAGTTATTTATCAACAAGGTCTACTGGGATTATGAACATTATGTTCTAGATTGTCTTGAAGAGTCTATTCGTAATAGAACTATCGATAATATCCTCGGGATAATTGATCTAAATATATCCGATTACTCAAATTTATATTTTGTAAAACATGCTTTGAGAGTCCACAATATATGACATACTATCCTTTTTGATGAATTTCAAAGATTTGGCACGTCGTTTATTGAAGCAAGTTAACTTTAAATTGCCCTTTTTTCAACTGCAAAAATCTCGATAGATATTAAGATATTTTTATACATTAAATTAAGGTTATATTTATGATGGTATATCGAAGCCTCGTGGATTGTCTTCTTCAAATTAAAGAAACGAAACATTATAAAGGACAAAAAACTGATATTTACCTTCCAGCTACCCTCACTCGACATAACCGTGAAATATTTTAGTAAAAGACTTTTTTCATGTTTCCAACATTTGTGTATATATATGTATATATTGTTTCGGTAGGTTATTTACTCTTTAATAGGGCATTTCGGTACTCGGTCACTTAAGAGCAAATAAAGGAGGTAACATGAATGCTGACAATAGATAGAACACTTCTTCTGTTGAATGGGTTAACCCGAAATGCAAGATCTCTGACCCTTTTGAAGCCCCCAATATCCTGTCCGCTGTTACTGCGATTAATGTTGCTGAATTACAAAGTACTTTTTCTGTGCAGTGTTTTAGGGACTGCTGTGTATCTTTTCGTTGTATTTGTTTACGCAATAGTGTTATCTGTTTTTCTTAAAACTTGTGATCTGTTTATTGTCAAATGAATTGTGTATCTTCTACCTCCTTTTCCATGCCTTTTTATGTCCACTATACGGTACAGTTTTGACATATAGTTGATGACCATACAGTCACCTATATGCTTATAGAAAATTCATGCCATCCATCATTGAGTGACCTTTTTGTACGATACATTATTTCCTGTACTTATTGATATTATGGTATGTACTTATGTGGTTCAAACAGTCTTTTTCTGAATATAAATTGTACTTGAGATCTTTTTACTTGTGTTTATTGATTCATTCTCTCGTCATATTGCTCAATGTCCAGATTCAGTTTCATTGATATCCATTGACGGTCAATTCGTTTTTGTCGGGTATTAATTTTGCAAGGAGGAATGTGAGGATTTGTTTTGTGTATTTATTACAAATGTGATGATTCGAATGTTCAAATTGTCAAGTCTCCATTTCTCAGCAGTATCCTATCCTCGAACCCATCGTATGGCGTTTACATATCTTAAATGATACGTTACATGCGTGTAGGATCATAGTTTAAGGATTTAATTTGCAGGGACGGGCTCCTTACACAAAGATGGCTAAAACAGAGCTGTGAGGAGAAACGACTGAAATCGTCACTGCATACGTGATACTGTCACCATTCTGCATTTGTTTACCGATACGATATTGTTTTTGTCTCAACTCACTAGCGACATGTTTTCGAAGCTTAAGTTCTTAACATACCAGAATAGTCGTCTAATCAGCCATTTTACCTATTGTGTCCTTTTCCTGATATAAGCAATTTGACAGATTGTGATTCATATGGCGTGTGATGAATGAATAACTGGAGAGATTTAACATGAGCAACACGACGGGTGCCACATGTGGATCAGGATCTGCTTACCCTTTCAGAGCACCTGAGATCACCCCTAGTTTTTGGTGGGGTTCGTGTTGCTTAGTCTTTAATTTTCTATGTTGTGTCTTTTGTACTATTATTTGTCTGTTTGTCTTTTTATCCATGGCGTTGTTAGTTTATTTTCGATCTATGAGTTTGACTGTCCCTCTGGTATCTTTCGCCCCTCTTTTTTAGCCTGACGACACATGCGTTTCCTGAACTGTTTTGGCAGTAACCCGTCTTTGTCTTCTAAATAGATTTCTTAGATTAAACATTGGCAATCCACAATTAAGCACTGTAACTTGGGTCAAGGTCTGTGTCTCCTTTGCTACAGTGGTCTTATTCGTACCATAGATACTGTTAATCGTGTCCTGAATATAATTGATAGATTTATCAGCTTCATGCTGAATATCATTCTTTAAATGTTTCTTTCCTATTTTGTTAGGGTTTTTACCTTATTTTGAAAATTCAACATTTCTTTTAAGTATTTGCGTTTGCATTTTAATACATATATCAATGTACAAGTGTATGTTGTAGGAACATATAATGGAATGTGATCATTGAATCTTTACGAATATTAATTCTGGTAAATGTTTTGTCAGTTCAACAAAATAGCATTTCTATTTGATTTCAAAACTAAGTAAGCCCTATCGTGAATATAACTGGAAAAAATACTACTGAAAATACACAAATAGCTCATACCCCGTAGAATTACTGTGTATGATGCACGAAAATAATCGTTTTGACCACTTTGATCAGATGTGAAGCAACAACCAGACTGTTGCTACTTGACGTGGCTGTACTTACACCTTGGATTGAACCTCTCAGGTTTAAAATAAATGGGTCGTAAATGGAATCACCGTCTATTGATATAATCCAAATACAATAACATATCAGTAATACTATGTCAGTCATCCCGATAGCTTTTAATCACAAAAGTAAACCGCGTTTTAACGCTATTAACTTAAGATTACAATTACTTCTTCTTTATACGCAAATTAAAAGATGAGACTTCTAAAAGAATATTTACATTTAAATTATTCATACATATATATATATATATATATATATATGTACACAGTATACCTTAATTTAGTGTAGGTTTTTTTTTAATTTTTTCTGCTTTTATGCACATTTAAGAAACCAACTTAAACTTTTTCAAAATTGTTTCAATTTGTGTATCATCACGAAATTGTTTCCATAGTAACACAGTTAAAACTAGAATACCTGATATATAACATATATAAATAAATCCAACAGTAGTATACCGATGTTCAAAAGTCACAAATCGATTGAGAGAAAACAAATCCGGGTTACAATCTGAAACCGAGGGAAACACATCAACTATAAGAGGAAAACACAGGAACAACAAGAACACTGAAGTGCAACAAAAACAAACGCCAACATACATAGAAACGAACTATTTGATAACAACTGCCATATTCCTGAATAGGTACAGGACATTATAAGAAAAAAAAATGGCGGGTTGAACCTGGTTTTATGGCTAGCCAAACCTCCCGCTTATATGACAATGTTAAAAAATATCGCTAAAATGACAAGACTACGTGACAGAAATACAGCATACACATACGCAAGAACACTCATCACATAGAAACGCACAAACAAATAATATAATAGTCGACACAACATGCAAACCGCAGAACAACAACGAACATCTTCCATCAACAACGGAAACCACAGACACCACAGGATATCACAATCACAATCACAAACAGTGACGCATAAATATATACAATCGTGTCTAAATGTTTTATGATAACATTAATTTCTACATATTTTATCTTTATTTTTTTTTCTGACTTGCAAAATGAAGTTTTATAAAACAGTTTTTTTTAAATTTTGCAAAAGTAAATTTTATATAAAAATTAAAATCTAAGCATTTTGTATCCATGGTAATAACATGATAGGACATGCGTCGTTTATAAGATTAGACTATGGTGTTAATGAATTCGTCGTTGACTTTAATTCAGGTGACGGCAAAAAATTATATTGAGTATTCAAAAAGGTCCTTTAAAGAATAATTGTCACCTTATGTGAACCACCTAAAAAGGGTGGTATACGTGATTATGATTGAAAATTGATTTAAAAAATACCAGTTGTTAAATTATATTATTAAAATGTATATATTTAATAACATCATTAGAATATTTCTTTTTCTTATTTATAGTATATAAAATATTATTTTGAACATAGTATTTTTCAGCTTAAAATAAATTCTAAAGGGTTTAAAATGGTCTGAGCTTGCTATGGCAACCGAAATGTGCATTGCAACCAAACATTTGTCATTCTCTGTTTCTTTCCTCAAGGTTAGTATGTGTGTGAAGTTTAAAGAAAAATCCATGATAATGTGTGTCACACTCTCTATGTAAGTGTTTAAGTAGTTAATGAGAACCAGTATTAATTTCTGAGTAATTGTTGGCAGATTTATGTAAGGAGTTCTGATATAAATCATCACATGATCAAGTAAATAAATATATAAATTTGAAACTATGAAATAAACAAAAGAAAAACAATAAAACTTAAATCTTATGCAAAATTTTGCAAAATATAATAAAAAAATGACAAATTGATTGTTCATCAACAATCTGCAAAATGTTAAGACAGTTGGAGATATTCATAAAAGTCAATGTATATTTAGAATATATATAGCCATGATCAATAAACAAGCTGTTACCCAGAATTATTGACATAAAAATGTTCACTGTAAGATAGACCTTTTAGAACTTTTAAAGATAAAACTGATCAATATTAACATGCATGGTATATTCTATACTACATTTTGTCATGTTGGGTCTTGTACAGCTTGCTATGTAGTCTATGTTTTGCTCATCATTAAGGGTCGTACAGTGACCTATATTTGCTAACATCTTTGTCAGTTGGTCTCTAGTGGATAATAAGTTGTCTAATTGGCAATTATACCACATCTCCTTATTTTGTCTACATGTACATACTAGTATATAAAGTTATAAACTTAAAATTTGTTGGATGATTTAAATGACCTGTATATTTATACATTAAAATGAAATTGATTCTGTTATAGACCATTCATGATATTGATGAGTGAACCACTTTGAATTTGGGTGATAAATGAGTGATTTAGACCTTTACACTTGTTGATAGTACCTACGGTTCATTTATTTCTAACAAAAGGTTATTTTTGCCCAGTTATTACCAGCCCATGATATTCATTTCCAAACCTGCTAGGCCATAACCATTAATGCATTGATCCTTAATTCGCTGCTGAAATTACCTTCACTTTTCAATTCTTTTTTCTCCTTTTGTTACGCTGCTGAAGACTAGCCTTCGAAATTATTACACCGGTATAAATCAAATACGAAACATATCTAATGATCTTTAAAAACATACATGTTGTTAAACTTAATGTCATTTTTAATGAAATCAAACTATGTTTTCTCTTCCGCCTGAAACAATGTTATTTTAAGAAAACTATAATATAAACAATTTTTCTACACCCACCCCAAACATAAGATGAATTGATGTGAGACTAATTGTTAGTCTACTCATGAGAACAATTATCATGTACATGTAATTAAAACGGATGCACGGATGAAAACAGACTAAATATGAAAACATCATAACAAGAAAGGTATTGTAAACTGTACAGGTTTACACCATGCGAC